TTGTGTATACACTTCATGTTTGCCTTGTATCTGAAAGCATTTATGTGCACATTTAACTTTCTACTTACAAGTCGTTGCATTGATGAGATAAACACCAGTGACTGCCCCATCTTCACACTTGGGTCTAGTCAGCAGGAGAAAGGACTTGCCGTAGTTCAGGCCATCAGTCCATCTCAGCAGAGACAATGCTAATTGGTCATACCAGAGAAATTAAAACAAGCTTCCCAAATCAAGGAAACAGCTTGACTGTTCTTGCTAGCATAACTTCAGGGTTTCTGGTAGTATCAACAGGACCTTAAATTCTACTCCTAAGCTAGGGTTTCAGTTCACAAGCAGCATGGTCTGCCTTGGGGCATCTCTAGTGACTTCCTCTTTGGAGGTTCTTTGGAAGCACAGAGGGTTGTCTTGTGTCTGGTGTTAGAGTTTAATTCCATTCAGAATAATTTTTTGTTATTTTGGTGTAATTAGTTTGCATTGGATAATTTGTTGCCCAACCAACTATAAGCAATAACTTATGTCATGACCCCAGTAAGCATTTAAAGAGGGAGCTTTTACCTTCCCATGTGTGCTTTGCTACATCTTTGCTTTCTATGCTACAGATCAGAAGCATTTATCACCCCAGGCTTATCCAGCCTGATGCCTTTCAAGACCATATTACAACTACCAGCGGTATTGAGACAGCCCTATATGCCAAGTTCCCTGATGCAGAAACAAAGATACCGTTTTGTTGTCCAGCTCAGCCCTGCTTACTGCTCTGCGCTTCTGATGGGGATCTTTGTGCCTTTATCTTTGGATCTAAACCCTCACCTAGATGAAAAGAATGCTGGGATTAAATAAAAGCAGGCACCACTTAGTGAGGCCTTAAAAGACTAGTTTAGTGGAGATTCACTGTATTGTAGCAGAGTTGCACTTAAATGGAGTCTTTCATCTAGCAGAGTCCAAGTTGGTTTACAGACCACATATATGTATGGAAATAAAATACATACAGCTTCAGTCACATTGAGATGGGATATAGGAGAAAGCATAGTAGTGCTCTAATAGAACGTACTTGTGCCACTTGGGTACTTCAGGTTTAAATGAAGAACATTTCTTTTGCTGAGAACCAAGGACTCTTATAGCAGCTCCCATGTTAGCACCTGTGTGAGTGTTAACCAATGATAATGTGGAAAACATAATTATCATATTACTGCTGCTTTATTGCCACTAATTTTTTGATTTCAGATTACCCAGCTGCTTGCAGTGACTGATAAATATTGCTAGTGTGTCATCTGGAAGTGGTAGGACTAATGTAATTACTATAGCCTTCCTATATTTGTCTTTTAGGGCAAGAAATAAACAGCTAGTTGAAACAAAAACCAGTGTATCATTTTGATGATAAGCACTAGTAGAGCAGTAAAGTGGTTGAAGGTCATTTCAAAAGCCTTGACCTCTGAAAAGATTAAGCTCTCTAGAGTGAAAGGACTGATTTCCCTTGAATCTTCCTTGGTAAGCCTTGGAAGACCAGTGGCAGAAAACCTCTGCTGCCTGTTTGAGTCCTCGGTAATTCTTACGAGGACAGTCCCTGCTGTGGGCTGCCCCATGGTAAAGCGCCTATAGTCTAACACATTTCATAACTTGAAAATGAAACTTCCTTAAAGGATTTACTTTCTTAGATAAAGTGGGGTGAAACTGGTCATCCTGGCAGGCTCCCAAGCCCTTAGGAATATGCGTGAGAGGTGGTGTTGAGGCATAGCCACTATTGACAAAGTGGTTGTGTGTTTGATGAGCATCCTAGAGATGTGCGATGAAGGACATACAGGTGCAACCTTGGAGAGCTGGGGCTAGCTCCAGCTGAGGGTTTGATTCAGGAGCAAACTTTTGGGGGGAGGATGTTGCTATAGGAGAGCCAGAGGACTGTGCTGGGAGTGGTATTAACAGATTCCTGGAAGGATGTAAAGAGGGACTGCACTACTGCACTTGAGGCTGGAGAAATTAAAGGTCTTAAAATTTGACTTGGAAATGAATTGCACAATACAAGGAACTTCAGTGGGAGAAATCTGATACAGGGACAGATAATCTCTCTCCTGTCCTAAATATATTTAATGGAGTTCTTTTGCATGTATTGAGCATTCCATCCAACACTTTGAAGATACTGGCGTTAATCTGTTCTCTGCTTTTACATTTTCTCATTTTGTGTGGTATTCTGGTTTTGCCTTTGTTTCAGATAGCAATTGGGTGAGGCACGTGCTCGGTGGGCCTGGATTCAGGAGATACCAATAAACAAATATAATTAGAATTTAAGAGTTTGGTACTTAGTCCTCAAGATGATTGTTATTCTTTTCTACTATTACAATGGACATTTTCCCAAGAGTTAGATTATAGTTGGGTCAGACTTCATTTATTGGGATGAAAACAGTAGCTTGTGTTGACCTGATGTGTGCTTTGATTATTTGTATTAATAACCTCTAACCACTTCCTTCCCCCCACTCCTGTTTTGCTGTTTGTGTAAATTAACCTCTGCTATCACTTCAGGGTAAGGTTGAGATTTGCTGCTTTTATGTCTTTTCAAAGGCTGTGCTTAACTCTGTGTAGTTACTGCAATAGTGTAATCTCAGGTGGGACGTTTCCAAAGGATTGTTCAGTTACACTGTATCTTTCTGCTCTTCCACATGCTGTTCTCTTGACTCTCTTGGTTTTGGTCTGAATCTGCTAGGTTTATGTGGGTTTTTTTTTGTTTTGGTTTGGTTTTTTTTTTTTCATGTTTTGTTTGGTGGAGATTTTCTCCCTTCTTTACGGTGTAATGAACATTTACTTTAAACATTTTTGTTTGGTTTTAAGTGGGCCTCTGATTCCTTCCCCTCTCTCAGCTTCATTCGGGTTCCCTGCACAGCTGGCTTTTGTACCATCAGCAAAAATTGTAAATGGCAAACAGTTGGACTACATGTGTCTAACACTATTCCAGTTCTGATTTGCTGCTTAAGTGAAAACAAATTTAGATTTTTCCCACAGTGCTTTGGTCGGGTAGAGCTCCTCTAACTGGAGGGAAGTGCTTTTGGTGCCATGGATTTAACCTTTAAGGATTATATAGTAAGGTTTATTAAGGAACCAGGCTGTTCTGCAAATATATAGGAGTCTTCTTGCTTTCTCTCTTTTCCCTCCTTCATGAACAATGATTTTAAAGCAAGTCTTATTCTTAAAGGCAAACAGGATTCATGCTTTGTTATCAGTCATTAGTCAACTGGACCGAGAGACTACCTACGGAGTATTTAGCTTTTGTGCTCAGAATCAGGATTAACAACTTTCTGTCTTTACAAATTGGAACTCTTGACCTCTCTGTTAATTTGGTCTCCTTATTATATCAACTCTGCGCTTCCCCTTTTGGAAGTGTTTAATCTGTTAAAATTATTACCTTACCTACATTTAGAAGCCTTCTTGGAAGGAGACCAAAGCTGCAGGTCAAATAGAGAAATACTGAGCAAGCAGTGGGGCTGGGCTGAGGGCTGCTCCCGAACCCCAGGCAGAGCCATTGCCAGCAACTGCAAATGCCACAAATGTCTGTTTTGCCCTAAACAGTATGGGTTGGGGCAGGTACCGCAGAGTCAGATCTGCCCTCTGCTCAGGCTGATGTACATGGACTTCCACATGACTGTAGGGCATCATTGCTGCTTTTCCTCTGAAGATTAGATGGTCTGGGATACAAAAGTAGTTTTGGTTTCTTGCCTGCTATACCTTTAAGGTTTTGTGGGTAGAAAGCAGCAGGGGTTCTTGGTTTTGGAGTTGCAGCTTGTTGAGAAGGTGTGGGAGGAGGACACATCTTTGCTGTCTTGCAGTCATTTTGGTATTCCTACCCATGATGTGCAAAAATGTAGGGATTTGGGTGGGTTTTTTGTTTGTTTGCATCCTGTACAATCTAAAATCCAAGCAGCTTACAAGGCACAAAGCAGAAAGTCTCGCCAAGCGGGCAGTGTGGGTGTCTCCTGTGCGACAAGTAACTGCTGTTGCGAGCCCGAAAATCACCCGTGTGCTCTGTGCATCGGGAGCGTTCTTGGGAACAGTGCACGGGGACACGCCAGGCACTGGGGTTTGGTCGCTGGGTCATCCCGCCCCATGCCTGCTTCCCAAGCCTGCAAGAGGCAGGGTCACAGGCAAAATTTTTGCATCAGAAAAACAGTAATAAAAATGAGGGTTGGCTGGCAAGTTTTATGTGTGGGCTGGTCTCATCTCGAGAGAAAGCACTAGCGTGTTATTGTCACACTGCACGCTTACCGAGTGTATTTCGCAAATACCCCCGTGACCTATAAACAGACAATAAAATTTGTGGGTGTGGATAGCTGACAAATTCTGAGGATTTAGGGCATGAACCCGCCAACCTTTATTCACTCAGATAATCCTAATCCATGCAAGTTC